TTTTGGAGTTTTCACTTTTTTTCTACTTATGTTTTTAAATTTTAAAAATTTGATTTTTTATTTAAAAAGTTTGAGAGACAGAGTGTCACTCTGTCATCTAGGCTAGAATGCAGTGTCACAATCATAGCTCACTGCAACCCCAAACTCTTGGACCCAAGTGATCCTCTCACCTTAGCCTCCTACATAGCTGTGACTACAGATGCGTGCCACCATACCCTGCTAATTTTTAAAGTTTTTTGTAGACATCCAGTCTTGCATGTTGCCCAGGTTGGACTCGAACTCCTGGTCTCAAGAGATACTCCTGTCCCTGCCTACCAAAGCACTGGGATTACTGGCATATGCCACTGTGCCCAACCACCTTCAGTTTTTCTCTAATCTAGTTTTTAATTAAGAAAAAAAAAATAGTGTCAACATTGGATCTGATTAAATCTGAGTGTAATCCAGTGAGATATTAAATCAGTTAATTGTAACTCAACATTAATATTTTTCTTTGGGCTGCTATTAGCTTTAAAATATTACATCATGATGCACAAACAATAATAGATCCTCTTGAGTAATTAAAACAGCTTAGCTTTTGGCCTGCATCATGGCAGGCGCGTGTAATCCCAGCTACTCAGCATGCTGAGGCAGGAGAATTACTCTAACCCAGGAGGCAGAAATTGCAGTGAACTGAGATTGCACCACTGCACTCCAGCGTGGGCTACAGAGTGAGATTCTGTCTCAAAAATAAAATAAAGAAGTAAATAAAAATAAATAAAATGGCTTAGCTTTGCTTATCGTATAATTAAAGCATCATGTGAAGACTACTCCAGTTACTGCTTGGTAACTTTGAAAGCAAACACATTTTAAGGTTTCAGTGGCTGGATGTGGTGGCTCATACCTTGTAATTACACTGCTTTGGGAGGTCAAGGTTGGAGGACCGTTTGAAACCAGGAGCTTGAGGCCAGGCTGAGTAACAAAGTGGGACTCCAGCTCTACAAAAACTAAAAGAAATTAGAGTCCTGGAACTTGAGGCAGCTGTTAGCTATGATCATGCCACTACACTCCAGCCTGGGCAGCAGAACAGGATTCTGTCTCTTAAAAAAAAAAAAAAAAAAAGTTTAAATATTTTTTTAAAACCAAAAAAAAATAAACGAGAATTTTTTTAAAAATGAAGTTTCAGTGATTTTGGTGTTACTACCAAAACAACTACTTTTCATTATCCTTTGCCTGCAAATTCCTTTTATCCTCTTTCTATCCTATTTTCTTTTTCCTTTCCTTGCTCTCCTAGTCTTGGACACACCTTCCACCCCTTCCTCACCCCCCCCCCAGGTTCCTACTGTAATTGGTTTTGATTGTTTGTTTTGTGGCTCTTTTGTAGCTTGTGATTATTTTACAAAACTCCTACTTGATGGGAGCTCAGTATTCTTGTTAGGTTTATTCACATGTCCAGCCCTTTCTAA